TGATTCCCATCTTTGGGATACGTAGGTAACTTCATCCTAAAGTTCGGCCATAATCATTTTCAGCCTGTTTGTCTCATCCATGTTGATTGGCTTATCCTTGTTCAACTCGGCTATCCTATCCATGTCCAATTGGCTCATCTTCGTTTAAAATCGCTTGTCCTATTTTGTTAGAACATTTAGCTACAAGACAATTCAAGCTCAGATCTGAGGTTGCGCATCTAAAGTCCTAAAGCCAAGGTCTGGCTATGTGAAGGGACTTGGCATGAGACCTTCATCCTCTATTATGAGAGCCACTACCATATATGCTGAAACAAATGATTATGTGAAGCGCCTTGAGATGCAAATAGAGACACAAAAGGAACAAATACAAATGCAGAACAATAAAATAGAAGATTTTGAAGAGGGTAAGAAGAAGCAATGGGAGATAATGGCTGATGTTGTCAACTTTTTGAGGACCAAAGGATTCACTGGATACTTTGAAAGTGGAGGGGACTCATCCACAAGTGGACATACTTCTTGGTAAAGTATATTAACTTTAATATAACAAATTTTATAAAAGAATACATGTTTGAAGAATTAGGAAGTAATGGAAACATGCATATGACATCCAATTTGTACAGGTGCACATGATGTATAAATTGTGAATTAGTCTAAAAAATATATTTTTTTCTCTATACTTAAAGCTTGAAAAAAGGTTGTCGAAATGCTAAATTATCACACAATTACAGATTTGTACAAGAACCATTAGAAACACCTTAGGACGGACCAATATAAGTTGTATGAACTTACGGCACATTAATGGGATGCACCATTTGTGAATTAGCCTTAAAATTAATTTTTTGTTCTCATAATCTAAAAAAAAGTCTGTTACAGGGATAAATTGTACAATTGATCTAATTGTAAATTGATGAGTTACTAATGTTTTTAATCTTTTGTATAATTGATTTATTACTAAAACTTTTAATTTATTTTTTTGCAGATTGGATTGGGGTGGCATTTTTGATGTGCAACAATGATGTAATTTGTTTGAATGTTAATTTTTGTTTGATAAGGATACACATACAGTTACACTAGTTATTGTTGGATTTTTGGTGGAATTGAACAAGTTATAACTTTTGAATATTTTGTGGATATTTCACTATTTTATTATATCAGGATGAAATTATTTGTAATGATGAATGTCTATTTTCATTTTGTTAATTCGTAAATGTGTTGATAACAGGTTAGGTTAAGTTGTGATGGAATTGTTATATGCAACAAGTTTCAACATGAACAGGGTCATATTTGTTGAACTAAAATTTAGATTTTGATAAAATAGGTATATAATGTGGAAAAAAATATTATGAAATTATTGACAAAATTTTTCATCCCTAAAGAAGGTTTTTTGTCTCTTTTTTGGCTTAGGTGGATGATTAATTTTGTCATAAATTCTTTATTTCGCCGCTAAATGAATTTGTCATGACAAAAAATATTGTCACATTTTGTCACTATTACCCTCAATGTGTGACGAATTTTTTTTGACATTATTTCATCATTTTTAATGATGAATTTGTTTTTATATCTATTGGTAGCTTCTTTGACAAAAAATTTTCGTCTTCGTTTATATTAAACGTGACAAAATTATTTTGTCTCCATTTCTTATATTTATGACAAAATACTTTTGTCTCTAATTTCTCCATTAATGACAAAATATCTTGTCGCTAATTACTTATAAGTATGTTCCCAACAGAGTGTATTGGAGACAAAAAAAATTCGTCACAAATTTATCATTTTTAATGATGAATTTGTTTTTGTCTCTATTGGTAGCTTCTTTGACAAATTTTTTTTATCTTCGTTTATATTAAACGTGACAAAATTATTCCGTCTCTATTTCTTATATTTATGACAAAATACTTTTGTCTCTAATTTCTTCTTTAATGACAAAATATTTTGTCGCTAATTACTTGCAAGTATGTTCCCAACAGAGTGTATTGGAGACAAAAAAATTCGTCACAAATTTATCATTTTGAATGATGAATTTGTTTTTGTCTCTATTGGTAGCTTCTTTGACAAAAAAATTTTGTCTTCGTTTTTATTAAACGTGACAAAATTATTTCGTCTCTATTTCTTATATTTATGACGAAATACTTTTGTCTCTAATTTCTTCTTTAATGACAAAGTATTTTGTCGCTAATTACTTACAAGTATGTTCCCAACAAAGTGTATTGGAGACAAAAAAATTCGTCACAAATTTATCATTTTCAATGACGAATTTTTTTTTTCGTCTCTAAGACCCTTTAGCGACGACCCTTTGGAGACAAAATGGGTGACGAAAAATGTTCGTCGTAATTAGTTTGGGTGACGAAATATATACGTTTTGGGACAAATTTGTTTCGTCTTTAAATCCCAAATTTGTTGTAGTGAGAGAATCCAAATAAATCTAGAACCATTAATGAGATTTTGCTGATTCGACGATCATAAATATTATTACTAGTACACTATAATAAATTAAGATTTTAAAAACAAAAATTTAAGAATAAAATTACTTTTTAGGGACATAATATTCCAAAAGTGTCATTATTTTATTTTTA